ATTGTAGTAGTAGTTTAGTAGTATTAGTAGTATTAGTAGTATTAGTAGTATTAGTAGTAGTAGTATTTGTAGTATTAGTAGTATTAGTACTATTTGTAGTATTTGTAGTAGTAGTATTTGTAGTAGTAGTAGTATTTGTAGTAGTAGTATTTAGTAGTATTTAGTAGTATTGTAGTATTAGTAGTATTTGTAGTAGTATTAGTAGTATTAGTATTTGTAGTAGTATTGTAGTATTTGTAGTAGTAGTAGTTAGTAGTTTAGTAGTATTTAGTAGTATTAGTAGTATTTGTAGTATTTGTAGTATTAGTAGTATTTGTAGTATTAGTAGTAGTAGTATTTGTAGTATTGTAGTAGTAGTATTTGTAGTATTTGTAGTATTAGTAGTATTAGTAGTAGTAGTATTTGTAGTAGTATTTGTAGTAGTATTTGTAGTATTTGTAGTATTTAGTAGTATTAGTAGTAGTAGTATTTGTAGTATTTATTAGTAGTATTTGTAGTATTTAGTAGTAGTATTTGTAGTATTAGTAGTCGTACCTCGGTGGTGTAATGTCCGTGTTCTTCCTGTAGGAGGCGGAGGAGGGTTCGTGTTTCGACAGTTTTTTGGCCATGTGGGATTTTTCCGACATCAGAGCCGACGTCTCAGAGCAGGTCCGGAACGTCGGTGAGTTCAAACACAAACACACCAGGACTAAACCAGGACTAAACCAGGACTAAACCAGGACTAAACCAGGTCTAAACCAGGACTAAACCAGGACTAAACCAGGACTAAACCAGGACTAAACCAGGACTAAACCAGGACTAAACCAGGACTAAACCAGGACTCTAAACCAGGACTAAACCAGGACTAAACCACAGGACTAAACCAGGACTAAACCAGGACTAAAACCAGGTCTAAACCAGGACTAAACCAGGACTAAACCAGGACTAAACCAGGACTAAACCAGGACTAAACCAGGACTAAACCAGGTCTAAACCAGGACTAAACCAGGACTAAACCAGGACTAAACCAGGACTAAACCAGGACTAAACCAGGACTAAACCCAGGACTAAACCAGGTCTAAACCAGGACTAAAACATATGGGTTTGGTCAAGTGTTAACGGAGGGAAACAGGGTCAGATTTTTTACATTCAAATGTCTCTTATTCAGAAACTAGAGGAACTATTGAAATAAGTAAAGCAGGAGAATCAAACTCATTTTGGTCTTGGGGTCGTATCCAACCGACTCTGATCCTAAAGGGGCCGGATCAGAAAACTCATGGAATATTTACCCAAAAAATAGCAATAAGTTCAAATATTTGTGCAGAGAAACACAAATCTATTACAGAAATCTTTTTTAATTGATGAACTCTTTCTTTTACAAAATATTATAATATTATGAACAACCTGAAACTTTAAGAAAAATACAATTTCAACACAAAGTTTGAACATGAACTTGTCTGTAAACAGGAATAAGTAAATTTTTGTTGTAAAATCCTGCACTCGGCTCCACTTTTCTCATGTTGGACATTTTTCTGATGAGGGTGTCACGGTCAACAGTCAAAACCATCGTCCTTTAAGAGCGTTTGGAAAGAGACAAGTCTTCATTTGTGCTGCTCTGGTGGGAGGGGCCACGTACAGAGACGCTGGAGACGCTGCTGTGATAAACACCACAGAAAATTAACACCATTTTAATAGAAAATATCATTCAAATATTTGAGTAGAAAATCAGCCGAGGCCCAGATTAAAGGTCTTGGAGGGCCGGATCTGGCCCCTGGGCCGTATGTTTGACACCTGTGAAGTAAAGTATCAGAATGTAGGAAAGAGTTACACTCCAACAGGGTCAAGTTAAACCTGTGAGATTCTTTCAAGTTCAAGACAAAAAATTTAAAAACTCATGTCGGTAACGGAGGGAATGAAATATGCAGCACTTTTTGGTTCAATAAATCCAAACAGTGATAACTCTTGGTTCTCACTTCCATATCCTTAACAAACTGGTTTGAATATTTGCTTCATATAGTTTTCTACCATATGGTACAAGATTAGGTTGAAAAACCTCTGACTTTTTGACTCATGAGATTTTTTATTAAGAAAGTTCATGGTAACGGAGGGAAAAGTAACGGAGGGAAAATTGTACAAACAAGTAGAAGGTGCAGGATTTTACATCATTTGTGGCTTTTTTCTTCTGAAAACTTTAATATTACTTCAAAATGAAAGAAACTATTTCTATAAAATATGTCAGTCCTTCCAAGAACATTTTTATCATTTTAAATACTTTTTTTTTTAAATCCTGTCCCTTCATCAACAGTTCAAAGATGGAATAACACAAGATATGATGAAATACAAACATTTATTTACATGATTTTTGGGTCTTTGAAATTTGGGAAATAATTTTTGTTCCATGTTTCATTCATGGTCTGTTTAAAACGGATGGAACTTTAGAACCAAAAATGGAACAGAAAAAAGGTGAACAGTTTGATAAACTCGAGTACATATGTATCTGTTCAATACATTTTTATATCAGATGAATTAAGTTGAAGTTTTGGTCTTGTTGTTTACTTCTGCTGGACCAGGGCCACAAATATCTTCAGTCTAAAACATTTGTCCAGTTGAAATATTTAAATTGTTGTTTTTTGTAGAAAAGTTCGGTTGTTTTCTCGGTTCTTCTGTCTGGTCTGTTTGTCGTTAAATGTTCCGCGGCGACATAAATCCGTCTCATTTTCTCGTGTCCCAGGCCGCACGTTCCTGGGTCGTCCCAATAAGATGTACTTCGGCCGCGCCCCCCGACCGGAGCACACGGAGCACACGGGACTCCTCTCCTCCTCGTCCCAGGACGTCCTCGCCTCCGCCGCCGCCGCCGCCGCCGCCGGGACGCCGGGGCCTCAGGGGACGTCTGCGCCCGCCTCACCCGGGGCCAGCGGACGATACCAGGGCCTGGGACACACCCCGAGCCCCCCACTCCACCTCCCCCCAGGCCAGGAACCCCTAGAACCTCCAGAACCCCAGAACCCCAGAACCTCCAGAACCCCCCTCCAGAACCCCAGAACCCTCCAGAACCCCCAGAACCTCCAGAACCCAGAACCTCCAGAACCCCCAGAACCTCCAGAACCTCCAGAACCTCCAGAACCTCCAGAACCTCCAGAACCTCCAGAACCTCCAGAACCTCCAGAACCTCCAGAACCTCCAGAACCTCCACACGCCCCAAATGTCCCAGTGTCAGTAAAAGTTTCTTATTGTGCATTTTGGACTTTGGAGTTTTCCTGTGATGACATAAGCAGAAGATTCTACAAACCTGTACTTTGTTTTTGTACTTTTATTTTCATTTTATTTTTATTTTATTATTATTATTATTTTTTTTTATTATTTTCGACTTTTTTCCCCCTGAAACTGTCACTTAAAGCTGCACTGTGTAACTTTTTGTTTTGTTTCTATGGAGATGTCATTGCTCTGCCTGGAATGTTCCGCAGTGTGACATTAAACGGAACAAACCAGGACTAAACCAGGACTAAAGTGGGTCTAGAACAAGACTAAACCAGGACTGAATCAAATCTAAAACAAGGACCTAGACTAAGCCAAGACTAAACTCAGGAATACAGGACTAAACCAGGACTGAACCAAGACTGAACCAAGACTAAAACCAACAATAAAACCAGACCTAAACCAGGACCTAAACCAGGACTAAACCAGGACTAAACCAGGACTACGTCAGGACTAAAGACTAAACTCGTCCTGACCAGGTGTCAGTGTGAGTTTTGTGACTGTTGGGTGAATATTTCCGTGTGTTTACTGTAAATTTGAAGAAAGAATCTTTTAATTCTCGGGTAAATCTGGAGCCAAGCCAAATGACGTGGTGGACCTTCATGTGACGTGGTGGACCTTCAGACGTGACGTGGTGGACCTTCAGTGGTGGACGTGGTGGTGTGACGTGGTGGACCTTCAGACGTGACGTGGTGTGACGTGGTGGACCTTCGTGACGTGGTGGTGTGACGTGGTGGACCTTCACGTGGTGGACCTTCAGACGTGACGTGGTGGACCTTCAGTGTGACGTCAGACGTGACGTGGTGGACCTTCAGACGTGACGTGGTGGACGTGACGTGGTGGACCTTCAGTGTGTGACGTGGTGGACCTTCAGTGTGACGTGGTGGACCTTCAGTGTGGACGTGGTGGACCTTCAGACGTGACGTGGTGGACCTTGGACAGTGTGACGTGGTGGACGTGACGTGGTGGACCTTCAGTGTGACGTGGTGGACCTTCAGACGTGACGTGGTGGACCTTCAGACGTGACGTGGTGGACCTTCAGACGTGACGTTGGTGGACCTTCAGTGTGGACGTGGTGGACCTTGACGTGTGGACGTGACGTGGTGGACCTTCAGACGTGGACGTGTGACGTGGTGGACCTTCGTGAGTGTGACGTGGTGGACCTTCAGTGTGACGTGGTGGACCTTCAGTGTGACGTGGTGGACCTTCAGACGTGACGTGGTGGACCTTCAGACGTGACGTGGTGGACCTTCAGTGTGGTATTTTTTTTTTTAAATTAACAAATCCTGTGAGTGACATGATTCTCAGATGTTCCGATGACCTGGTGTAAAATGTATTTTACTGTTTGTGAAGAATAAACACAGATGAGCCTCGCTCTAGCGTGGCTCATTTCCTCCCACAGTCTCAAATATACTGAGTACTGAACCAGAACTAAACCAGGACTAAACCAGGACTAAAAACAGGATTGAGTGGGTTTAGTTTGCAGACGGCTGGTGCTCACAGATAAGGACACTACGCATTTTAAATTCCGATCTCGAAACTGAAAGTCGGCTGCTGATTGGAGGAAATGAGGGACTTTGTTTACAAAAACAAAACCAGTCTCAGTCGCACGTAGGACATGGAGGAGGACACACGCAGGTCTGTAGTTTTCTTCTAATGTTCTTTATTGCGGTTGTTTCTTGTTCTGTAGACGCTGTTTGACACTGAGTTTCTCGTCCTGTTCGAGTCAAAACGCTCGGAGTGTGAGTGTAGGTTTGTCTGCATGGCTGCGTAACCGACTCTCATGGGCCGGGAGCTCGTCCACTACTACAACTTTTTTGTTCACTGTTAAATATCTGTTTCTTACATTTGCACCTCCACAAGAACTCTGGTGTGTCATGTCTGTTTCATTTGATAACACGCGTACTTCACCAACACTGTTAAAAGTGATAAAACTAGAGCGACCAAACGTCCCTTTTTCCCAGGACATGTCTGTATTTTGCGTCCTGTCCTGGGCATACAGTTTGTTTGTTTTTTTTATAAGTGATGCAAATGTCCAGGTTTTCATTTCTGTTCATTGTGTCATTAAACTGAGCGTCTCTCGTCGCGTCTGTGACTCAGAAGGAGCGAGACACAAACAGTCTGAAACATGACGAAGCACAAATGCACATTTAACGCACAGGTTGGGAGGGGAGAGTAAAGTGTCCCTCGTTTATCGCAGGAGTTACGTTCTAAAAATAACCCGCGATAGTTGAAATCCACCAAGTATCAACTTTATATTTTACAATTATTCTATGTGTTTTAAATCTGTAAAACCTCACACAAACTTTATACACTTACACCTTCTTAAAACTTATTTCTGCTGTCGTCCTTTTGTTATTTTCCTCCTTCTTTATGTAACAAACCAAAGATTTATTTATTCCGTAATGGAGCCGACAGCGCCGAGTCCTGCACAGGTCCATTTTTGGAGACTCGCACCTGCGCAGGACAGGGCCGCACCTGCCCGTTAACCCGGGATTATATCAAACTTTTGCCTACGACACGGACTGAACCAAGACTAAACCAGGACTAACCCAGGACTGAAACAGGACTGAATGTGGGGAGGGGCTCGGAGGTGACGCAGGAGAAAGGACCCATGGAGACCTCCACACCTCACGGAGGTAAACACGACGACTGCCCGATCGCGCTTTGCAGATAAACTGCTCGCCGTCTTGTCTCTTAAAGGTTGTATAGAGGATTTTCCAAGGAAGGAGAAATCCAGCGACTGTTTGTCCTTTTTCAAATGTTGCTCATGCGTGAAACCACCTCCCCTCCCCCACAGCTCCTACGTAGAAACACCTCCTCCCTCCTCCTCCTTACACCACAAACAGGTTTGTTTACAGCCGGTGAACTGCACATGACTTGTAAACAACTAACTACAGTGTTGGTTAGACAAGACGGAGAAGTGAGGAGCGGGGAAAGAGGAGAGAGGAGAGAGAAGGTTGCGCGGAGATTCAGTGCGAATGAACTAGCTACAACACGCAGCAGCAAGCGGACTCTTTCTTTGCCTTGAAAATTACGTTTTCAGACATAGGATATCGCTTTTGTGTCCTGAAAAACGTTTGTCTCGCTCTTGGAAATAAAGTAGGTTTTCATAATAAGCAGAAGTTTCCTGTCCAGGAGTAATTTGTGGACCAGTGGTTCAGTCTTTAGACCCTTCGTCTGCTTCAGTCGCACCATCAATGGAATGAATCTCCAAGAATCACCTTAGTTTGGCTTCGCTGCTTTTCCCCTTGTCTTCTTCTTTCACCTCAAAAACGGACTTTCTTTTGCGGTGAACTGCTCCTGGATTCTTGTCGCCATCGCAACAAACTTTGTTCTAACTGCGAGGAAGATATAGGTCAAAAAAGCCGCTAAGAACTGTTGCGTTGGTGGAGTAAACAGCGTCTGTGTCGTACGTAAACCAAGTCAGTTACACTAGAAACGTAGGGAGTTTGATTGACAGCCTGTCAGCTCACAGATAACGAGGCAGTGTCGTTATCTATTGGCAAATGTTTATCTGTCCCCACCACGTCCAGAGTTGATGAATTTTTATTCTCTTTTTTTTGGTCATCATAATTACAAGGCGACTGCATCTATAATCTATCACTGACAATTTGAAACCAAAAAAATCCTCCATACAAACTTTAAGTCCAAAAATAAAAAAGACTGTAGCTCAGCGTCGAGGCCCCACCTCCCGCCCCTGGTAAGATGTCGGGGTTTTCACAAGAAACATGGTCACCCGAGATAAAACTTCATGAACCCAGCGGCCTGTTGGGGGGGGGGGTAGTTTATTTCTACTTCACAAATGTACAATTCCTGCACAAAGTTATAAATAAACATAAATAATCATCATAAAATCAACATTAAAAGAGAAGAAAGAAATTCTCCTCTTCTCCTCGGGTCACGTCATTAAACTGTGACATTATGGCGCCCTCTTGTGGTCATAGTGTTTTTGTTGTGTTTTTAATTGTTCTTGTTGAATTGTAACATCAGTATTTCCTTAAAGGTGTTTCTCTAGATCAGACATGTCAAACTCAGGCCCGGGGGCCAAATTTGGCCCATGATATAATAATATTTGTCCCACAAGATCAAATCAAATCTGTATCAGAGCTGCTCATCGCACACAGAGACGATAGACACATGATTTATTTAAAATGTTTTTATTTTATATTCTGTTTGTTCTGGATTTAAAGTTTAAGCTAAACTTTTATTAAACTTTTATTTGAATAAGAAAAGTTTTAAAATTACTGATCTCCAAAGAAGAGAAAACCTGCAGATGTTGTGGAAATTTTTCAATAAATATTTAGTTTCCTCCACGACTTTGTCCCAGTTTTTAATTTTGGCCTCTGTGAGTTTGAGTTTGACTCTCCTGATCGAGAGACGCCACACGTCCCTGTTTCCTCAGGACAGTTTCAGTTTTGAGTCTGTGTCTCTGTCCCACAGATTTATACAAAACCACTGATCTGTCCCAGTTTATACAAGAAATGTCCCAGTGTCTCTATTTTTCACCAATCTGATCCTGGAACAGTCAAGAGAAACAAACTGACATTTGTTTCGGGAAAATCCGCTTTAAAATGACAAAACACAAAGAAAATGTGACTAAACTGACTCATGTTCGTCATAAATGGGCCGAGAACAGAACAATTTTCCTTAATTACACTAAATTCACAATTTTATTATCACCAATGACCAAAAAAAAAAAAAACAGAGATGTCCCAGTTTATGATTTTGAAAATCCATCCATCCATTTTCTTCCACTTATCCGGGGTCGGTTCTCGGGGGCTTCAGTCTGAGCAGGGACTCCCAGACTTCCTTCACCCCAGACACTTCCTCCAGCTCCTCCGGGGGAACCTGAGGTGTTCCCAGGCCAGTCCAGAGACATAGTCCCTCCAGTGTGTCCTGGGTCTTCCTCCTCCCGGTGGGACATGAACACCTCCTGAGGGACACGTCCAGGAGACATCAGAACAGATGCCCGAGCCTCAACTGCTCCTCTCCACGTGGAGGAGCAGCGGCTCTACTCCGAGCTCCTCCCGTGTGACTGAGCTCCTCACTCTGTCTCTAAGGGAGACGCCCACACGCCCTGTGGAGGAAACTCATTTCGACGCTTGTATCTGCGATTTTGAAAATCTGGTCACTACATTTGTTTCACTATTATTTTGTCCCTACAGGTGCAAAGATGTTGAATCCACAGAAGGAAACACTGAGGAAGAAGCAGACGGATGAGGAGGAAGAGGCTGATGTTGTTCAAAAGAGGAAACTTGGCTCCAGCAGGTATGAGTCTGTCAGAGTTTGGGGCCAGTGTGGTCAACAGGACGAACATTTTAAAAGTCATTTCTGACGCCTGTTTCCATATAAATGAAACCAAAACTCCTTCAGGAAAAGATCAGATGTTTCTTTATTTTCACATGATCCATGAACAAGGTCAAAAGACTCTTCCTCATCAATGTTCAACACTGGTTTTATTACAAGTCTTAAACAGGCAACAACCCACAGAAAACACGGTCACACAGTGGATACAAATAGTTTGTGAAATGTCAGTATTTGGACTGATTTGTGCAGGTTTGATTTTTAATCTTTAGTTGTTTATTTTCAAGACGCCTGCAGATCAAACCCTGTTTTCACCCTCCTCACTATGTGTGGCTTTGTGCAGCGTCGTCATTTTGGTCCAAATGTTAAAAAAAAATACTCGTGACGTACAGCAGGAGGAAAGACCACAGTCCTGGTCCTGGGTCCCTACCTGGTTTAGTCCTGGTTTAGTCCTGGTTTAGTCCTGGTTTAGTCCTGGTTTAGTCCTGGTTTAGTCCTGGTTTAGTCCTGGTTTAGTCCTGGTTTAGTCCTGGTTTACTGGTTTAGTCCTGGTTTAGTCCTGGTTTAGACCTGGTTTAGAGTCCTGGTTTAGTCCTGGTTTAGTCCTGGTTTAGACCTGGTTTAGACCTGGTTTAGACCTGGTTTACTCCTGGTTCAGTCCTGTTTTAGTCCCGTTTTAGTTCTAGTTCAATCCTGGTTCAGTCCTGGTTCAGTCCTGGTTCAGTCCTGGTTTAGTCCTGGTTTAGTCCTGGTTTAGTCCTGGTTTAGTCCTCTTGTTTCAGTACTGGAATCAGTCCTGGTTTAGTCTTGGTTCAGTTCGTGGTGTAGGCAGCGCAAAAGTTTGATATAATCTCGGGTTAACGGGCAGGTGAGGGCAGGTGCGTGCGAGTGTGGGCAGGTGTGGTCCTGTCCTGGCAGGTGTGAGTCTCCAGAAATGGACCCGTGCAGGACTCTGCGCTGTCGACTCCACTACAGAATAAATGAATCTTGGGTTCGTTCCATAAAGAAGGAGGAAAATAACAAAAGGACGACAGCAGCAACAAGTTTTAAGAAGGAAGTAAAAAGTGTTGTCAGTGTCCTGTGTGAGTAAAGTGTAGAAAGTTTGTGTGACGGGTTTTACAGACTTAAAACAGATAGAATCATTGTAAAATATCAAGTTGACGACTTGGCAGATTTCACCTACTGCGGGTTATTTTCAGAACGTAACACCTGTGATAAACGACTGACCAGTGTGAACAGAAAGTCTTAATACTGTGTCCAGGTTTGAGGCACCTTCACATTCAAAACACTTTCAATCACAGATTTTGTATTTGATTGGAGCAGTAACAGCCTTAGTTTTTCTGCCCTACAGCACAGACTTAAAACCTTTTTATGTAACATGTGTTTCAGTTCAGAACCTTCAGTTACTCCCATGGCCACAAGAAGCACGATGTCAAAGGCAGAAATAATGAACTTTCCTGTGAGGTAATTATTCCTAATGATGTTTGTACATAAGAGTCATGCATTTAAATGTTCTCTTATTCAGATCTTTTTTTATATATATTTTCTAGTTTGGAGGAAACTGTGGAGTCAGATGTCATGTCTGTGAAGAGTGATCGATCTATGGGGCATCCTATGTCCTTTCAACAAAAGCCTAAAAGGTAATCCACATTCTGTGTGTTCTTCAGTTACTCTCAGGTGATGGAAGGTTGTTGTTGTTGTTCAAAAAAACTCATAAATTTACTTGTAGAATAAAAAGCTGTAGCTCAAAAAGATGAAGAGAAGAAACATGAAGCTGGAGTTTTAACACAGAAGAAGTTTATTTCCATCAGTCCAGACTGAGCAGAGANTCCTGGTTCAGTCCTGGTTCAGTCCTGGTTTTCAGTCCTGGTTTAGTCCTGGTTTAGTCCCTTGTTTCAGTTACTGGAATCAGTCCTGGTTTAGTCTTGGTTCAGTTCCGTGGTGTAGGCAGCGCAAAAGTTTGATATAATCTCGGTGGGCAGGTGAGGGCAGGTGAGGGCAGGTGAGGGCAGGTGAGGGCAGGTGAGGGCAGGTGTGGGCAGGTGTGGTCCTGTCCTGCGCAGGTGTGAGTCTCCAGAAATGGCCCCGTGCAGGACTCTGCGCTGTCGACTCCACTACAGAATAAATGAATCTTGGGTTCGTTCCATAAAGAAGGAGGAAAATAACAAAAGGACGACAGCAGCAACAAGTTTTAAGAAGGAAGTAAAAAGTGTTGTCAGTGTCCTGTGTGAGTAAAGTGTAGAAAGTTTGTGTGACGGGTTTTACAGACTTAAAACAGATAGAATCATTGTAAAATATCAAGTTGACGACTTGGCAGATTTCACCTACTGCGGGTTATTTTCAGAACGTAACACCTGTGATAAACGACTGACCAGTGTGAACAGAAAGTCTTAATACTGTGTCCAGGTTTGAGGCACCTTCACATTCAAAACACTTTCAGTCACAGATTTTGTATTTGATTGGAGCAGTAACAGCCTTAGTTTTTCTGCCCTACAGCACAGACTTAAAACCTTTTTATGTAACATGTGTTTCAGTTCAGAACCTTCAGTTACTCCCATGGCCACAAGAAGCACGATGTCAAAGGCAGAAATAATGAACTTTCAAGATGCTCCTATGAGGTAATTTTGCTCAGTGATCTGTGTTTGTACATAAGAGTCATGCATTTAAATGTTCTCTTATTCAGATCTTTTTTTATTTATATTTTCTAGTTTGGAGGAAACTGTGGAGTCAGATGGACACAGACCTTTGTCTCTTTGGAGAGTGATAAATCTATGGGGGCATCCTATGTCCTTTAAACCAGCACCTAAAAGGTAATCCTCATTCTGTGTGTTCTTCAGTTACTCTCAGGTGATGGAAGGTTGTTGTTGTTGTTCAAAAAAACTCATAAATTTACTTGTAGAATAAAAAGCTGTAGCTCAAAAAGATGAAGAGAAGAAACATGAAGCTGGAGTTTTAACACAGAAGAAGTTTATTTCCATCAGTCCAGACTGAGCAGAGACATGAATCAACACAGAGACTTATATTGTGGCGTAGTAGTAGTAGTAGTAGTAGTAGTAGTAGTAGTAGTAGTACGTAGTAGTAGTTAGTAAGTGTAGTGGTAGTAGTATAGTAGTATAGTAGTAGTAGTAGTAGTAGGTAGTAGTCAGTAGTAGTAGTGGTAGTCGTAGTAAGTAGTAGTAGTAGTAGTAGTAGTGTAGTATTTAGTCCAGTAGAATATTAAGTGTCTGAAACATAATGTTTCATATAATATTCTTTATTCATATTTTATAGTTTGAGGAGACTGTGAGTCGATGGACACAGACCTTTTGTCTGTGAGAGTGATAAATCTAAGTAAACCAGTAAAAGTAATCCTATTCTGTGTGTTCTTAGTTACTCTCAGGTGATGGAAGTTGTGTTCAAAAACATAAATTTAGTAGAATAAAGCTGTAGTAGTAGTAGTCCAAGGTCAGGACTTGGATGAGTTGGTGGTGGGAGAAGCCGATGGTGCAGATTGGCAGCCACGCTTCCATCAGTCTGCCCCAGGGCAGCTGTGACTACAATAGTATCTTACCACCACAGAGTGTGGAGTGAATGAATAATGAACTGTAAAGCATCTTTGTGTCCAAGTAGTAGTAGTAGTAGTAGTAGTAGTAGTAGTAGTTAGTAGTAGAACAGTAGAATATTAGTGTCTGAAATAAAAAGTACTCATATTAATATCCCTTTTATTTATATTTTATAGTTTGGAGGAGACTGTGCAGTCGACTGGACCCAGACCTTTGTCTTTGGCAGAGTGATCGATCTATGCGTCATCCTATAACCTTTAAACTGGAGTCAAACAGGTAACCAGAACTGTGTTATTTTAAGTTGGTTCATGTTGGTGTCATGTAAATCAACTTGTGTTTCTCATGTGATTATGAATAAACTGTAGGTGTGACAGAGACATTAGACACTTGTTATTCATAAATAGAAATGTTAGAGATGTTTGGACTGAATGATCTGGGACAAATCTGTGTGTGATTATATTTGTCAGAGCTTTTACAGCCTGAGTCGTCTGTCCTCTTGTCCTGTTATCAACGCTCCATGAACCTGCTCAAACAAAACACATCACTGACCCCAGACTCTTTTCAAGCCCAGAGGAACAAGTTTACAGAGAACAAGCTTTTTCCTGCAGCTGCTGTGTTCTTTGGGCCCATATATAAATCTATATAATATAATATTCACTAAAGAAATACACAAACTTATTTGTTAGAGATTGGCTTCACAGCTTCATATGGCTTAAAAAACATTTTCTGAAGCTACTGTGAAAACATAATTTCACTTTAGTTTATTCACGGTCAGTGGCGGCTGGCGGCATAATAAAAAAATATTATATATATTTGTAAATATATATGATAAATATATGTTATATATACTACGACACCCAGTCCCAACAACAACACACACCCAGTCCCAACAACACACACACACCAGTCCCAACACAACGTAACACACACCCAGTCCCAACAACACAACACACACCCAGTCCCAACAACACAACGTAACACACACCCAGTCCCAACAACACAACGTAACACACCCCAGTCCAACAACAACGTAACACACACACACACAGTCCCCAACAACACACACCCAGCCCAACGAAACACGTAACACACACCCCCTCCACAACACCACCACACAACACAACGTAACACACACCAGCCCCAACAACACAACGTAACACACACACAGTCCCAACGAAACAACGTAACACACACCCAGTCCCAACAACGTAACACACACCCAGCCCCAACGAAACAACGTACTACAGCACAGCCTACAGTAGTAAGATGGCTGCAGTGGGGAGTTGGGGCTGGGCGGGACAGAGTGAGCAGCTCAATCACAATAGGTCAGGTGTGTGATAAATGTTTATTCAGATCAATCCCTTGATTTGAAGTCGTCCCCACCCTGCGCCCCAAGACGTACTTCAGGTCTGTGATGTAAAGTCATGGGCACAAGCAACGAAATGACGTCACGTTTTCTCCAAACTTCAGGCTCGTCCATAGAACTCCATTAAGTCGCTCGAACTCAGCGAACGCAAAAAACAAACACATGAACCAAATAAAGTGATATAAAAGTGATATTACTCAAAGTGATTTTAACATGACAAATATATGTCTATGCAGATACACGGTCAATTTTAACAAAATATTAAACATATAGCGACTTTATAGATTTAAAAAAAAATCTTGGTCAGGTGAGGGAGTGCAGCGAACTTGCGTCCTCTATTGTTCAGATGCCACTGTTCACGGTGATGGAGAGGGCCATACGCTTTGTGTCAGTTTTTGTTTCATGTGGATAGTCCCAGTAAACCATAAACCAGGACAACAAATCTGCAAACTCACGGTTACAGCGAATTCCACTTGAGAATTCTGACCTGTTTGACTACAGGGATCCTAGAACCTTCTGATATCAAGTGAACACAACTTATCTGAGCATTCTGCCCATGGAATCTGTTAAACCTGAACTGTTGAACTGAACAAAGGTGCAGAAACTGAACTCTGAATCACACTTTGGGTCCACTGTACCTGTGTGAACACTGTATCTGAATAAATCTTTTGTTTCCTGCAGACGCTGGGTTCCACGTTGTTGTGTTTGTGAAGAGACTTTTGAAGGAGATCCCATGTTTCTGAGCTGTTCTCATGTGGCCTGTACTCGCTGTGTAATGAAGAACACTGAGTCACAGACAACAGGTCATATCCACTGTCCTCAGTGTGAAACCAAACAGAGACTCACACCAACTCCACAGGCGCTCAGACTCCTGACAGGTGAGTCCAGGCCTCACCTAGGCCCATGTGTCCATCATCTAACCTGTACTCAAGTGGTTACTTCTGGTACTGCAGCAAACACTCACTCATCTTTTTGTTCATGTTCCAGGGGACGATAAACTCTTTCACTTAACTGTGAAACTGAAGGAGGAGATGCACAAAAGGTTTTCTATGACGAGTGAAGGAAACGGAGATGAGAGGAGTCCCCTGAAACACATCTACACTTCACTGTCCATCAACTTTGGCAAGAGAGAAGTTCTCCCAGAGTACTACTCCATGATGATGAAAAGAACAGATCCTCATGTAGAAGAGGCTCAAATCAATGATCTTTTCCATTCTCCACCAGTGAAGACCAGAACTGTCCTGACAAATGGAGTGGCTGGAATCGGAAAATCTTTTTGTGTCCAAAAGTTCATTGTGGACTGGGCTGAAGGCGCTGCTCAAAAAGATGCTCATTTTGTTTTCTGTCTGGCTTTTCGAGAGCTTAATTTGATCAAAAATGAGACAAGTTTGCTCCAGCTCCTGACAGACTTCCACCCGGCTCTGAGCGGCACAGACCCACAGGTCTTAGACTGGACTAAAGTGATCCTGATCCTGGATGGTTTTGATGAGAGCCGGTTTGATCTGGACTTCAGAAACACAGAGAGAGTCACATCGCTGCAGGAGGTCACTTCTGTGTCCAACCTCGTGTTGAACCTGATCCAGGGAAACCTGCTCCCTTCAGCCCAGCTCTGGGTCACCTCTCGGCCAGCGGCCTCTCATCAGATCCCCGGAGAGTTCATCCACACAGTCACTGAGATTCAAGGCTTCAACGATCTCCAGAAGGAAGAATATTTCAGGAAGAGGTTCAGGAACAAACCAGAGCTCGCTGAAATGGTGATTTCACATGTGAAGTCATCACATTCACTGGACTTGTTGTGCCAGATCCCCATCTTCTGCTGGATGTCCTCTGTTTTATTTGAGGAGGTTTTTGGAGGAGAGGAGCAGACTGGAGCTCCTCAGACCCTCACTGAGATGATGGCAGCGTTCGTGTCTATTCAAACCAAGCGCAGCAGCAGAAAATATGACAAGACCCCAGAGAAAGAGAGAACCAAGCTTCTAAAAGCTAAAAGAGAGCTCCTCCTTAAAGTCGGCAAACTGGCCTTCATCCACCTGCTAAACAACAACCTGATCTTTTATGAAGAAGATCTACAACAGTGTGAACTCGAGTTCAAAGAAACCACAGTTGAATCTGGGTTTTTCAGCTCCATTCTCCAACAAGAGCAGCTGTTTTTGCAGCAGAACGTGTATTTCTTTGTGCACCTGATCGTACAAGAGTTCTTTGCTGCTCTTTATGTTTACGACTGTTTTACCAACAACAAACCCTGGGCTCCAGAGCTGAGCTCCTTCTTGGGTCTAGAGTCATCAGAGTCCTCCTCCAGACCTCCAGTGTTTGACCTTCTAAAGATGGTGGTCGACAAAGTTCTGGAGATTAACAATGGTACCTTGTACTACTTCCAGCGTTTCCTTCTCGGTCTTGTGCTTGAATCGAATCAGAGATTTATTCCTGGATTACTGCGCCCCCTAGAGTCAAGGGAAGACACTGTTAAAAAAATGTTGATCCACCTCAAAGCCATTCGACGCAAAACCATCTCCCCAGACACCTGCATCAACCTGTTTAACACCATGGTGGAGATGGGAGACACTAAGATCAGTGAAGAGATACAGGAGTATTTGAAATCAGACGACAGAGCTCGAGTGCATCTGACTCCTCTGCACTGCTCTGCTCTGGCCTTCACCATGCAGCTTTCTAAGAGCATCATGGAAGAACTCGATCTAAAGAGCTACAACACGTCAGAGGAGGGACGGCGGAGGCTCATACCTGCTGTCAGGAACTGCAGGAAAGCCAAGTAAGTACAGAAATCAAAACCAATTGTGATTAGTTCTCGTATTCGTGACCAGTAGGGCTGTAAAATAGTTCTTCTGTAGCATCTATACTTCAGTGTGGTCCTTTCACACCTGAAAACCAACCAAAGTTGGTCCAATTGACGTATAGCCAAGGCTCCTGCACACTCGACTACACGTGGCTCGGGGACGTTGAGGCTCTCCTACACGCCACACCTCTCAGAAGTCAGGCCGAGACACACGGTCTCACCTGGTGGCCACAGAACCCCTCCACGGGGTACAGACGGTGCGGGCCAGTCCCTATCTGGAACTCAGCCTCTGGCTCCAGGGCCAGGGGAGCATTTCGAGCATTTTGAATAGTTTGTTTGGACCTACTGGACCCGAGTTTGCGTTCTCACCAGAAGGACCACACCAGTATTTGGCAGTTGGTGCAGAATCAAGCAGACTGAGACCACCTCTTTTTTTAAGTTCTCGGTTCGCTTGGTTTAGTGCGGCGACTGAAGCTTTCACACCAACAAAAACAAACTGAACTAAGAGCTTCTGGTTCAAATGGAACTGCTGTCAGTGTGAAAGAACCCTTAATTATCTAAATAAAATGATTAGTCATGCAGACAGCACAGGTTGCACTAACGCACATTTTGGTTGACCAAAGCTCGGCTTACACTGCGATTTTTGGGTTACGAGCTACAGTCACCTGCTCACGATGAACCCACGACAGCTGATGGTGGCAGTGTCTGTGTACACTGGTGTATGAGTGTGTGTGAATGGGTCAGAGTGATTCTTTGACGTAAAGTGATTTGAACCTCGAAGGTGGAAAAGTGCTGTATAAAAATGGGACCATTTACCATTTACGACCATTGCTCTGTTCAGTACAGAGCGATGGTCTGTCATGAGCTTCGTATGAGATTCAGTCGCACAGTGGGAGTTTGAGAACAATTTGGAACATCTGAAAAAGATACAAAATCGCAGTGCAACCCAAAGATCGCACAGCGTAAGCTGTGCTTTAGTCGACCAATTAACTGAATAAACAATTAGAGGACTACAGCCCTACAGACCAGTGTGTGACCACAGTCTAATAAGTGTTTGTGTCTTCAGTCTGTCCGACTGCAGAGTGACTGAGGCTTTTCTGAAGCTTCTCTCTTCTGCTCTGACGTTTCCACATTCGCCTCTGAGACATTTGGATCTGAGCAACAACGACCTGCAGGACTCTGGAGTGAAGCTGCTCTGTGAGGGACTGAGAAGTGCAACCTGCAGACTCACAACACTCAGGTACACCTCACCTGTCACTATATACACCTCACCTGTCACTATATACACCTCACCTGTCACTATATACACCTCACCTGTCACTATATACACCTCACCTGTCACTATATACACCTCACCTGTCACTATATACACCTCACCTGTCACTATATACACCTCACCTGTCACTATATACACCTCACCTGTCTATACTCACCTGTCACTATATACACACCTCACCTGTCACTATATACACCTCACCTGTCACTATATACACCTCACCTGTCACTATATACACCTCACCTGTCACTATACACCTCACCTGTCACTATATACACCTCACCTGTCACTATATACACCTCACCTGTCACTATATACACCTCACCTGTCACTATATACACCTCACCTGTCACTATATACACCTCACCTGTCACTATATACACCTCACCTGTCACTATAACACCTCACCTGTCACTATATACACCTCACCTGTCACTATATACACCTCACCTGTCATTATATACACCTCACCTGTCACTATACACACCTCACCTGTCACTATATACACCTCACCTGTCATTATATACACCTCACCTGTCACTATATACACCTCACCTGTCACTATATACACCTCACCTGTCACTATATACACCTCACCTGTCACTATATACACCTCACCTGTCACTATATACACCTCACCTGTCACTATATACACCTCACCTGTCACTATATACACCTCACCTGTCACTATATACACCTCACCTGTCACTATATACACCTCACCTGTCACTATATACACCTCACCTGTCACTATACACACCTCACCTGTCACTATATACACCTCACCTGTCACTATATACACCTCACCTGTCATAAACACTGAAGTGTCATTATTGACTCTGGTCCTGCATGTTCTCATGACCTGGTGTGTTTCAGGTTGTCTGCTTGTCTTGTGACAGAAAAAGGTTGTGGTTTTCTGGTCTCGGCTCTAAAATCAAACCCGTCTCATCTGAAGGAGCTGGACCTCAGTTATAACCACCTGGAGTCAGGAGAATCAGCCCTGAGTGAACTAAAGAAAGAGCCTCAGTTTAACCTCCTCCAGATTGAGTGAGTTTCACAAACCTCCATCAGCCCTGAGAACCTGGACTGTTTAACAATGTACATGATGTTTTGTTTGCAGTGTGTCTCATGGAGGAAGTCACAGAATGATCCCAGGACCGAAGAAATGTAAGAGAACTTAGACTTATGTAGATTTATTATTATTTATTATTTCATGTCTTATGTTGCCATGTACAGACTGAACTAGTTCACACACAGATCTGTAAAACTTTAGGATGGTTCATGAAGTCAACACTAATCATAGTAAACACGATCAGCTGACCGACGAACTTATTACCATGAAAACAGACTTCAGGCAAACGGAAGCACAAGTGACTATATGTGTGCACACGTGTGTGGACACGTGTGTGGACACGTGTGTGGACACGTGTGTGGACACGTGTGTGGACACGCGTGTGGACACGTGTGGACACGTGTGTGGACACGTGCTTCCTTGGTCCTCTCCACTGTGGTCTTTTCTTTGGATAAATGTCCCTTGAGGATGATGTGTGTTGGAAGTTGAGGCCCTCAGACTGAACAAGTTCTTCCTGCGCAGACAGAGTCAGTGATATGAAGTTGGTCCAATCTGCTTCATCAGATGAGAAGCTCTGCTCCAAACTCTTCAGTGACCCAAACCTAAAACCACCTGTTTAAATCTTCCTCAGAGCAGCTGTTAAACACAGTCCAGACGCACACACAGATCTAAAGACCTTTACATGGACCTGACTAGACTCAGAGTGAAACCACCTTTCACAAGTTGATTCAATCAGTGATTTTATTTGTGTGTTTGTCCTCCACAGATCTGTGTGAGTTCACCTGGGCCTCGCCCTGTGCAGAGGTGCAGTTTTCAGACCAGCAGAGGGCAGTGTCCCGCTCTGACCAGGGCCCAGACTTGGTGCTGGTGCGAGGGGCACAGGGTTTGAGCGGACGCTGTTACTGGGAGATCGAAGCCTCTGAGCCGTTCAACATCGGAGTAACAAACTGGAGCAGAGAGGAGGACGCAGAGTTTAGACTGGGACTAAACCACAAGTCCTGGAGTTTTGTTTGTTCTGAAGAGGGCTGCTACTGTCTCCATGACAACAAGAAGATCCCTGTTCCCTCCGTCCACTGCTCACGCTCCAGTCGACTGGCTGTTTATCTGGACCACATGTCCGGGGTTCTCTCCTTCTACAGAGTCTCCACAGACAGTCAACATCTTCTCTTCACTTTCAGAGAGAAATTCACTGATATTCTGTGTGTCGCTGCTGAGCTGAAGAAGAACTCTTTTGTCAAATTTTACCACGACCAAACAAAGGAGAAAAGCCTGTAACCTGAGATGTTTGAAGAATCCCTCAGTCGTCCAGGTAGAATCCACGGCGAGGAGAAAATTCAGTTTGTCGACTGGACAAAAGTGAGTTTGGTTGAAGATGTTTCTGGGCTCATCCAAGCTGCTTCTTCAGTTCTGGACAGACGCTGGTGACACTTCCTTATATGTGACTAACTGAAACTAACACACACACACTTGTTTACAGTTTGTGTTTGTTAGTTGGGCCTGTTGACCTGTACAGGGTGTGGGGGTCTAATTAGCAGAATAATTCATGTCCATAATGGAGCTTCCACACCTCTGGTCCTGACCTGACTCCACCTGTTGTTCTTGTTTGTTTTGTTTTTAGGTTTGAGGATGGACGTGTAAATAGGAGACAGATGGAGTCTGAGTCCTTTTCTGTTTAGAGAAGGATTCTATTTCTTAACAAAAACAGCTTCTTTCTCTCTCCTCTCAAACCAATTCTTTTCTCTGGCTAAAATCTGTACCTCGCTGTCCTCAAACGAGTGGCCCGTGGATTTTAAGTGGAGATGTACATCAGACTGAGGTCCTGTGTTGTTCTCTCGTCTGTGTTGGTTCTTGTGAAGTGTTTAGTTTCTCCAGTGTCATGTTCACTTCACTCATAGTTTTGTTTGTGTCTCGGTGTTTTGTTCTTTGGGTTGGACCAGTTTCTGTCTTAAAGTGTTTGTAGGTTTGAAATAGACCAGAATCTCATGACGTCTGAAGATCCTCTGTAGTTTTTCAGAAACACCAGCCATGTAGAGAAAGGTTCCCCCCTTTCTCCTGGTTCTGATTCTCTGTTGTCCTGTTTCTGAGAACTAAAAAAGAGTGAAAATAATGATTAGACTTTATTTGTCACGTGTGTAAAGTGTTAAATTTAAAGTGCAGCGTCTCATCCACATTAACCACAGAATTTGTGAACGTCTGAACTGTGACTCCAGTTTTTCTGAGTCGTAGTTTCAAAGTAAAAAGTTGAGTTTGTTTGGTCGCGTGTGTCTGTTTACGTCCACACGGCGCACGGATTCTCCACAGTGACTCCACTTCCCCAACACTTTATCTCCAATCTTTCCCGCTTTAAAAAATCCCGTGTTTGATGTTTTGCTCCACATTTCACAAATAATAATCACACAGTTTGGACTTGTGCCGCCGTGCAGAGTCTGATCTTTGAACACTTAAGTGCCGATGTGTCAGAGTCCAACCCGAGCCCGACAGAAGTTCTAAATATTTCTTCGGTCGCGTTTCCATGCACTAATTCACACATTTCACACTAGAAACATGTTTTAACATTTATTTAACAAAATAAAGGTGTTGTCATTTATTTCTATTAGTCTAGTTTAGAACTGTTGTGTAGTTAGGCATGTTTTGGCCTTTTGTGGTTGCTCGGTAACAGTTATGAAATTATCTCTAGCTCTAACTGTAGCCCCAAACCCAAACCTTAACCCTCGACTGAACCTTACCCCTAAACTTCATCTAAATGTCTCAGTTTCTGTCATACTACACTTTTTTAATCATGTTCCCCTGATGTATATTTGCACCATACTTTTTGTTGGCGTGAGGCTGTTATTTACTTTTCTTATCGAGACCATGTCACGCATGTGTGTACCAAATTTTGTATGTCTTTTTTTTTATTTTATTTTTTTTATAATTTGTCAAATTGAGGGATTGGATACCCAACCCCCAAAAAATAAAATAAAATAATAATAATAATAATAATAATAATAATATAATAAAAAAAAAACAATAATAATAATAAAAAAAATTAAAATAAAAAAAAAATGGTGGTGGGGTTGGGGAGAGTGTGTGTAGTACAGTTTCTCAATGCCGTGTTTGCATGTGTGTATTTAAAAAATACACACGCATTTTGTATGTGTATGATAAAGTACCATATTACTATATTTCAGTAAACTTTTTTTTTTATTTGAATTTACTTTGGGATCAATAATCTATTTACCTCTTCGAGCTTTTCGCTACTAACCAGGCAACTTCTTCAGGACATTCCAGAGGGAGCCACAGTGACAAACTCAAAACCCCGAAGAAGCCAGAAGAAGTAGAAAGTTCAGTTTTGTGATAATACTTTAGTCGTAGGTGTATCGATATCCAATTCTCGACGATACAATATTTATGAAGATATTGTGTGGAAGTTCACGATATGATGGGAGGCTCACGATTAGGGACGTAACAAAATCCAAATCTCTGTACGATATTTTGACGACGCACATCTCACGGGACGATATTTATTGCGATATTTTGTAGGTCTAACGAAACTGTTAATATTGTCAGTTTTCCTCTTTAAATACCTTGACAAACCTTAATCCAAAGTATAAATAAGCATTAAAAGTATTAGAACAGTTATTTCTTCTTGTAGTTTGCACTGAAAGTGGTTCCGCACTCTTTTCTCTCATGTAATATCTGTATTTTTATTTTATTTCATGATGATTATTTATGTTTCGATTTGTTTGTGTTGTGATTTGAATGTGTTTATTATTCTGTAAACAGTGTTGGGAAGTTTACTTTTAAAATGTAATCCCCTACAGATTACAGATTACACACCCCAAAATGTAGTTTGTAACGTAATCCATTAAATTACTTAAAGTGAGTAATGTAATCTGATTACTTTGGATTATTTGATTTGCTGTAGAGAAACAAAGACGAGGAAACTTAACCATATTAAAAATATTATTAATAGAAGAAGAGGGAGACACTGATCCTGATTTAGTCCTGGTTTATTTAATCCTGGTTTAGTCCTGGTTTAGACCTGGTGTAGATCTAGTTTTAGTCCTGGTTTAGACCTGGTATAGACCTGGTTTAGTCCTGGTGTAGATCTAGTTTTAGTCCTGGTTTAGACCTGGTTTAGACCTGGTTTAGACCTGGTGTTTAGATCTAGTTTTAGTCCTGGTTTAGTTTCCAGCAATGAGTGGAATTACCGAAAACAAAAATAAATAAAATAAAAATAAAGTGAAAACAGTAAAATCCCTCTGTGTAATCCATTTATTTCAACAAAGTAACTGTAATCCAATTACCACTCACTGAAACAGTAACTGTAACTGATTACAGTTACTCATAATCTGTACTCTGATTACATAACTCCGGTACTTGTAATCTGTTACTCCCCGACACTGCTGGAGAGAAATGAAATTAAAGTAAAGTGTTTTGTTTTTTTCTTCACTGTGTGACACTGATCTGTGTCAGGAGGTAAATATAGTTTGTGTGTGTAGATGTGACGTTTCCTGTTCTTCAGTTGAATTGTACCTTGTGGTTTTTCTGTCGTTTCAAAACTTAACCGTGTTAAACCATTGAGGAATGCACAGTTTTATATTGTTTGTGCATTTAAACAAAACAGAAAAACAAAGAAATGTACAAAAAAAAGTTGAATAAATAACTAAAGACATTTCTCTGGTTTGGTTTGTGTCTGAAATCGGGTCAGAAATATCGAAAATCAGATAGTAACTGATACCAAAACAAGTATCGAAACTAGATCCTTATTTTTCACAAACAAAATGAACCTGTGAGACAAAAGGACACACGGGAATAGAAAAGAAAATACTACGGTTTAATGTGGAATAAAGGGGTGTGCGATGCTTTGAGTCTGACGATACGATGCACATCACGATACTCACGTCACGATTCGATACGTCACGATACTAAAACAACGGACGATGTATTGATCTGTTGATGAACTGTGACAGAGCCATAGTTCCTCTTCGCTCCTATGAAAAAGCATTTTATTGTTTATTGTTTATTTCAACTTCTAGTCATTGTCACAGAAGAACAAAGAAATTGCGTTTGGAGCCTCCCATAAAGTGCAAACCCATAAATAATAAATACCCCTTAAACCCAAGTGTAAACACTGACCCAGCGTGGCCTCAGTACAACATGAGACGGTTCTTATAGCAGCAAGATGAGGGTGTCAAGTAACGTACACAGACAGGGACGTTCAGACAGACACCTGAGAATCATGACAGAAAAATGCACCAGTGCAACCAGTTCAGTGTTATTAAAGGTTGTATGGAGGATTTTTTTGTTTGTTTCAAATTGTCAGTGAAAGTTCAAAATAGAATTATAGAGATGCAGCAGCCTTGTAATTATTTATGGTGACCAAAAAAACAAAAAAAAAGAATGAAAATCCATCAACTGTGGACGTGGTGAGGCCGGATAAACATCAGCCAATAGAAAACAAGGCTACCTCTTTATCTATTGGCTGTTGAGTTGTCAATCAAACTTCCTACGTGTCTAGCGTCACTGACTTGCCGGCGCACTGGGATCACACGGTTTATGTTTGCCTCTCACGCACTGATGCCGTTTACTCGACCAGCACAGCGGTTTCTTGGCGTCTTTTTCGAACTGTAGCTTCCTCTCAGTTCACACAGAGTTTGTTGTAATGGCCGTCAAGAATTCGTGACCAGTTCGTCGCAAAAGAAAGTCCGTTTTTGACGTCATGGAAAGAAGAAGAGATGGGGGGGAAAAGGAGCGAAGAGCGACATTTGAAAAAGAGCAAACAGTCGCTGCATTTCTCTTTCTTTGGAAAATCTTCTTTACAACCTTTAAAAGTTGGATGTGGTTTTTGTCCGTGAGAGGGGGGGCAGAGAGGGGCCAAAGGGGGAGAGGGGCAGAGTTCTGTTGGCCAGTCTGGATGTTCTGGCCCGTTTGGACCTGGACCTTCTCCCTGAGGGCAGCAGGTGGAAAAAGGGTGCGCAGGGTGAATGTTGGTCCTGCAGGATGTTGTGCTCTCTTCTCAGACAGCGAGTGGAGTAGACGGTGCTGATTCCTGGCAGAGTCGTTCCAGTGATTCTACCGGCTGCTTTCACCACCTGCTGGAGTGTCTGCTGGTCAAAACCAACCAAAAAACCATACGTCAGAACACTGCTGACGGCACAGTTGTAAAAAGTTCAACATCAGAGGTCTGGGAATGTGGGCACTCCTCAATTTCCTCAGGTAGTAAAGGTGCTGTTGGGACGTCCGTACGGCTGAGGTGATGTGATTGTCCCAGGACAGGTCCTCAGTCACGGTTACCCCCAGGAATTTGAAGCTGCTCACCCTCTCCACCACCTCGGTGCCAATGAGGAGAGGTAGATGGTTGTTGTGACCTTTTCTGCGGAAATCCACAACAATCTCCTTGGTCTTTTTAGCGTTTAAAACCAAGTTATTGTGGTGGCACCATGACTCCAGGTGCATTTTCTACAAATCTTGGAGTCATTTTTGATTACAATTTTAAATATGAAAAGCAAGTAAACTCCGTTCTTAAATCCAGTAAAAAAGCCGTAAAAATACTGGAGAAGAAACTATTCTCATTTCACCGCTGCACTATTTTACACAAGTACAACCTGCTTCATTTTAATAATTTTGTTGATTTTAAATATGGATGTTTTATCTATAAAGTTTTGTCTGGACTTGTCCTCCTCTGTTACAGGATTTTATTAAAGTAAAGTCCGTCAGTGAGATCTAAAGTCACGGCCCGGAGGAACTGTGACCGTGTCTCAGTCAGAGGCTCTAAGTCAGTGGGGCTCAGTACGTCGATCTCGATCTACCAGTCGATCGTCAAGGTCGTGTGGGTAGATCGCCGTGTCTCGTCTCGGACTCGCGTTTGGACTCGGTCTTGTCTCTCACTCGAGGTCTGACACTCAACAAGTGTGATCATATTTCATTGCGGCCGCTGCTGTTGGTAATAAACTTGTAGCGGGTGCAGGAGCGTGTGGGGCGTCTCAGTGCAGCCTGTGCGCTCATTTGAAACCCGCGGAGACTCTACGGCGCATCACAAACACACACGCTCCCTATGCACGGCTCGTCTGCGACAGCGTGTGCCCTCGTGTACCAGCGTGCGTCACAGGGCAGGTTCAACTTCCTAAACATCCTACCTGTCCACCTGCCTCACGTCAGCACGCCGCCCCTCGCCTTTTCACGCTCTCGCTCCTTCCTGCGTACAGCCAACACAAGCCCCTCCCACAGTGCGGCTGATTAGAAGAACAAGACCAAACGTGAAGCAAAAACCAGTCTAAATTTGTGTTCCAGTGTTGGCACACAAAGCAGGTCTACAGCATAGAGCGGATCTACAGAACAGACCTACTGCCACATTTGGCTGAAGTTTGTCTAACAAAAGTGACAAATGCATCTGTGTTTGTCACGATGTGCGTTTGGTTTGGTAAACGTGCAGAGGCTGGTAAATATCACTGCAAAACCAGAAAAGAATGAAACTCCAGTTTGGAACTTTAAAACAGGTTTAAAAATCTTCCTTCAGTTTTTCCACTTTTTCTGGAGTTTTTCCACAACAGCCTCAGTGTCTGGACTCTGGAGGGAGGAGTCGTCAAACCAGACTCTGCTTTTATCCCGTCGGGCGTGGCTCTTCAAAACACCCAACACCTCTATTATTATATATGAGATTATCTTCTTTTTTGTTCTCTACAATCACCTCGACGTGAACGTAAAGCTGAAATTTAACGATTTACTCTTCCAGACCTAAAGGCAGTTTCAGTACACTGGTCCTCGTCTGGATTTTTTTCTTAATTTTGTGTTTTAAACTTCCCCTTTTACCCCTAATGAAGTGTTATTCATCCTTTTTATTCACTACAACCTTTTATTTCACAGCTCTTCTTGTGTCAATATTTATTTTTATGTGATGATGAAATCGATGTTCTATGTTTGACCGAAGGTTTGACAGAACAAAATGTTTCTCAGTGTTTTTCAAAAGTCCACAGATCACGTTACAACAGGTTTTATTCAAATATTTGGCTAAATGACTTTTTTTTTCTGTGATAAATGAAAATGCTGTTGTACATTTAACAAGTTTTTTCAATATTGTCAGTGTTTTTCAAAAGCCCAACAGTGGATCACGCTGCAAAAACTCAAATCTAGTCAAGTGAAGATGATCGAGTGAATAAAGTTTGATCAGGATTTGAGTCCGTTTAAAAGATCTGCCCATGGAACAAGACTTTTTGTACTTAAAATATGAAAATACATCTTGCTGCATGAGAAAATATGAGAAAAACAACAACTTAAAATAAGAAACAAAATCAATTTTTGCTTGAATTAAGAAAAATACACAAGTTGAATCGACTCAAATAAAGTCAAATCTTCTTAATTTAAGTCATTTTAATTTTCCTACATATTGTTTTTTGGAGTGTGCACACGTTTACTCAAAGACTAAAAGTTTTCTGTGACAAAATGTTGTTGGCCCTGGGCAGAACCAGAGCCATGTTCATGTTCGGAATAAAAATGTATCCTGTTTGTTTCCTGTTTTTGCCTCGGTGTCTCGTCTCGTCTCGTGTCTTTAAACTCTGAGACTCTCCGCTCTGCTTTCCAAACACAAATGAACTCTAGACTTGATAAACTGGTCACTCAATGAAATTAACACCTTTTTTTTTCTACGAGAAGCTCGGGGTCGGGTGAACCTGGGACCTCGCCTGGAATTTCCCCCACAGGAAACACGATGAACATCCTCCCTCCGTGGAGGACAGAGACGTCTTCCCGTTCTGAACCGTGATCACAGGTCTTTTCTCGATTGGCTCAGACATGACCCAGATTTTTCTAAAAGTTTGGATCAGCGAGGCGACTCTTCAGCGCTGCACTCGGCCGCCCCGTCAAACTGAAAGTGAAAGAAAACTCTGAACTCAT